AAACCCTTTTAAAACAGAAGATAATCTACAAACCAAAACAGAGGCATGCAATTACCTCTAGAAACTGCATTTAACATGTTAATTTAACAATAATTATTTCTTCATATWCTATCAATATCAAATGTTGTGTTTATGTTTCAGCCTTGCACAGCTCCAGACAAACATAGTGATAGCTGTGAACCAAGTGTACTTAGATTTCAAACAAGATATTGAACTCAAGCAAGGAGATCACATTGCTATTATACCCCCTCTTAGTGGAGGATAACCTTACCAAAGGTAATCTTTTAATGTATTTTAGACATACAATATGTAATGCTTTTAAAGACAGACCACTCCTAATTRCTCACTTTACTCTTATGGATTATATGTTTTGTGTCGTTTACTTTGTAATACCTTGTAAGCTCAAGTAATATGGGAAATAAAAACCAAGTTTGAGTAAAAAACTGAACTATGATGTAGACACCCAAATTGTTTTTCAAATTCTAAACATACACTGTCCTGTGCTCAGATTCTTTGACATGAAAATATAATATCAAGTGCATTGTTAAGGAATTCTTTTATATACGCTATAAATCTATATTCATTAATTAATAATTATTAAGAATAACAGGTGTTTTTGTGTATTAAAAAGTAATCTCATTGATATTGTAATATTATTGAATAATTAGCAATAATGAATGAAAACAGATATGGTCACCAAATACAAGGATAATTTACTGACATTTTACTCCTTGTATGGGATTATCTAGTGTGTGAATCCTGTTTGCACTACACATAGTTATGCTGTATATTTGATTGGTTTCCTTATGCTTAAAAATTATTGTTGTTATTTTGTTTGTGTTGTTTTCTGGTTTCAAGTTAGAGAAAAGACATTGAGTACTTAACAAATTTTAGATCATTTCCTATGTAACTAATTCAAAGAGGAGTGATTTGGTCTGAATATTCTCTCTGACTACTTCTGCTGCCCAGTTTTAAAGCTTTGATCGACATGAATCGTTTGTGAGTTGAGGTTGTTTGATTTGMTCTTTTCTACCTTGCTTTAAGGTTTTTTCTTTATTTATAACTGTTTTTTCCCCTGTACATGTAGAGGTAAAATCAGCATGTGACCAATGTAGAGGTCACAATTGTGAGTTAGTTGTATGAATATTTATACAATTTTTACCATTGACAAAAAAAATTATTTACGTAGTTGGTGGAGAGTTGTATATCAACAGAAAGCCTAGACTAATAATAATTATTTAGAATAAGAACAAAATCCAGCAGACACATATACAGAGTTTTGCAGAAAATTGTATCTTGCTTACAAACTGACAGCATAGTGGCTTGCTCTGACTTATAAGATGAAAGTGACCACAAAAAGAATAGGCAATATATATACTTCCCACATATTACCCTAATAATATTTTAAAAGGTTACTTGTGGCAACTAGTGGTACGTTATTAATGAGAAGTTGATATTGCACTCAGTACATGTAGTTCTTAYAGAGAGGAATTTTAATATTTTTTGTCTTTTTTGCAGTGTTGTTGTTAAATTATTGTTTCTATAGAAACCAATGTGGACCCCACGATTGTTGAACTACCTTGCTAAACTATGCAGCTTGTCTGTCAACATACTGTTTGTCAAATTGGCTTAAGTGTACATTGTTTATTTACTCTATTTGTACATGTTTACACCCTGTGTTAAGGAGAAAACAGTTTTGGTAAACTAATGGAACATTTCATTTGTCTTCATCGGCATCAAATATCAAGGCATTATCCTTTACATAGATCTCTATCAACAAAGATATACATACTGTCTGCATATAGATTMAAACTATTTATAAAAGCTTTATTGTGACAAAAGACGCCATCTGATTGTCAATATAAATAAGTTTGTTGGGGTTATGTAAACACATAAATTAYACCCACACAATAATGGAAGGTTTTGAAACTCTTGAATCAATATTTCAAAGCTTRGATGAGAACTGATATAGAAAAGTTTTGACAGCAAAAGATAGGCCGTCTGTCTTTATAAGACAACTTCTAGACTGATACACTGTGGCTTAGACTGGAAATCTATACAGTTACATAAAATAGATGATTTTAGTTGTGTGGTAGAAAGTRAAATAGAGGACACTTGGGATGGAGAAAGGCACTTCAACATGCAGTTTACCTCAATTTGCAAGGTACAGAAAATCGTACTGTAAATTTTGGAATGATTTTCCTCCAGATTCAATGTAATTTCAACATAGGTGGCAACTTTCACTCTGAACTGGAACCTCAACTTCATTTATCCCCCAAAACAGAAATTAAAAAAAAAGAAGTTTAATTCGTAAAGGAAATTTCCAAAGGGTACTAAAGAAGCGGCTTTTTTGGACATATGTTTTAGGTAACAGAAAATATAATAATGTTTAAAATATAGTTTAGGTGCGATGTCAGCATATTGTCACTCAAAAAGACAATCTATGATGGTTTAAAAAGTCAGGTCAATATGACACTTTGAATAGAGAAGACAGCAAGTTATTGTTTTGAATTGTTTTGATTGCAGTTATTACAAAAAGGATATAAAAAAGCTTGCCCAGCAATGCCAAATTATTTTTTCTGAACAAAGAACTCTTTGGTATAATTGATTCACAATAAAAAAATATATTGATATTAATTCATTAGCTAACACATCTCAGCTAATCATAAAAGTTCTATTGTACAGCACAGTACAGAATTTGAAAATCAGCCATCAATGGTCAACCATATTTATAGTTCTAACAATACAAATGGCAGTAATATTCATACAACAGAGTTCAATCCCCTCAGGGCTTGTCTATGTAATATGTCTTCTTTATGTCATGATGCTGTCAGAGAAAACTTTTTACCAAAGAACTAGAAGATATTAAAAGGGCTGTCAGCTCTCTTGGCTGTTATGAAGTCTCAAGATTTTGGACATTTCCAAGTTTCAAAGTATAGCATTAGGTGAAATCTTTAGGTCAATCTAGACAATTTCAAAAATGCTTTTTTGCTACAGAAAATCAAGAAATGAACTTGCTGAGGATCTTCTTCTGTCTCCTTTTTGAAGGAGCATCTTTAGCAGCATAATATACAGTTATTTTTGCATGATGGAGTTTGTCACTTATCGTCAAAGGAAATATTAAGGATGCTTAAAGACCAAGTGATGATGTAATACAGTATTCAATGAATTACAGGAATTAGGCCCAACCTGACCTTGTAACTAGAGTTACTTTATTAGGATATTTTATAAACATAACAACATATAAAGTAAAACACATCATTCTATTAGTTATTTTATGGTGCAGAAAGTTGTAATAAATAAAACTATCTTCTAAAACATTGATTTTAGGCAAATTATGGAAAAAATTACTATTTATGAAATATAATGCTACACCTAGCATGACATTCATTRTCAGTCTAAAAAAATACTTAGTTCTCACCAAACTGTACAAGTGCTCAGTTTTTTGGGAAAAACAAAAACAGTTGACAGTTATTATTTAACATGATTTCATTCTTTGATTGCTGGATATATAACATGAACCATGAAACAAAAGAATTYGATAGAAACACACATAAGTAACGATATCTGAATGTTCATTCAAGCAAACACTAAGAGGCAAAGAATCTAAAKTAAGACTTAATGATAAAAGAACTGGCCTTTTGCTTGTGAAAACAGTACAAGGACGSTAAAATCTTTGTAATTACTTAAGTCATTTTTACTATTTAAACAGTCATTGTTGTTTGTGAAAGCTAGAATTCTATGGTTACTAATTACACATTTTAAGTGGCAGAAAATCCTTGARTAAACAGTTTGGGAATCTCAAGGTACACCTGTTGTGGGMTTGCCTTTTTGGAAGYATATGTTTACAATTTTTGTGTTACCTCTAAAAGCCAAACAGAAAAAGCTTAAATGTTTTTTGTGAATGGAAAAATATGTAAAGATTATCAAAGAAAATCTGGTTAAAAAAAAAMMAAMAACAAACAAACAAAAACAAACGTTGCATTGAATTAGTGCATTAAAAAAAGTTTAAGGTGAAATGATAAACCTGCTACTGTTATATGCATAATTGGAATTTGGTTTTAATTATTTTAAGAATGAAAGGCAGCATAAAAGAAATGCCATTTGCATAAATTACAATATTGTAAGGTTTTCAAGAGCTTCAGGATCTAGAATTGAGATATCACCTCTTAATTCATATTAATGTCCAAATCCTAAGGAGATCTAGTACTGCAGTATTTAGCTTATGTTTCAGTTATTGTATTTCTCGTTATTAAATATAACACCACAAAATGCAATCAATCCGCATGTGTTAATCTGCTTTTTGGATGTAAAAATGATATTGGATTGCCTTTTTAATGTGAAAAGTAATGTAGAAAGTCTGCCTGTGTCACAACTKTTTACATCGTCATTATCTCTCACACTGACAATATTTAATTGTTTTTTCTTTGACTAATATAAAGGAGTCAATAGATTTAATTACAATGATAAGAACTCTTTTCAATTACTATGTACAAMCAGTTTTCTTGATAAAACAAAAGAAACATTCTCTGTCAGAGAAAAATAGTTGAAAAAGAATCRATCTTTTGTTCTCGTCATATAAGGTGTGTTTACTWTTGTCCTAAATAAAGAAAAATTCACAAATGCAATTTGCCAAAAGTAAGGAAATTGTATCTTATGAATATTGAATGGATATGGAGCTGAGTTTTTGAGGAATAAGTAGTTTTCCTCCCTCAGTTCTYAAGAACTAAAGAAGTTACTTAAATAGTACAAATACTAAAGGATGGATTTCATGTCATGATATGTACACTTGCCTATGATTTACATATGGTTCTAAACAAATAGTAACTAATGCTTTTAATATAGGATTAACATAGGTTTTTTTTAGAATATTTTATAAAAGAACAAGCTTAGTTTAAATGGCACCAATTACATACAAATAGCCAGCTGTTTCACAGTAGAGAGAAACATTCAAAAACAGAGACAGTAATCTTTAATTTCATTTGATGGAACACTACCGCTCATTTTAAATTCTGATGTGTTGTTTGGCCTTAATACAGTAACTTGCTGCTACAGAATTTGAATCAAGAAAACAGCCCTCTGGGGCACACCTATAGCTTTGTGGAATTAGTCTTCGATAATCTGGGAATTGAAAACATCACAGCAATGTTTACTAAATTGGACGTTTTTGCAAGGAAAAATGGTATGAATTGARTGGTTTTTCAGCTGGGTACAACATTATGGCCTTGACAGTAGCAAGACTGGACATGAAATGGTTAGATAAACCTTATCTATATAAATTATAATATTTTCATGATAATGTTGGTGCATCTCTCTTGTAACTTTTAGATAGTGAATCAGCTGTTAGTGCTCTTATTCTATCCATCTTTTGCTCATGTATGTTTTGAGTAACAGTCCTTGCAACCTCTGTTTAATACTTATAGTTTACTATAAATAGGTAAATTGTACTGTCAAACTTAGACATGTTTAAGATGAATTTTTGAGAGTGCACAGTTAGGTATTCAACACTAAGTGATCAAGCTGGTGATCAGTTAATGCTGTTTGGGTTGAACAAAACATAAACAAGTCAGGAAAAATAAAAAAGATGAAAGTGTTTTGACTTCCAAATCCATAGAATTCATCACATATTCAAAGTTCTTATCCAAAAGCTTTTTAAATCCAATTAGTTTAGGACCTAATAAGGAGTGTGTTCAATACAACCATGAAATCCGCTGTAAAAAATAAATTGCACTCAATTAAACAATTTAAGCCAATGATTTTGTACTTGTTTGGAGAATAATTTGTTATCGAACTATTTAACAGATAACTCATTCTCATATGATCGTATTTAATATTCATGAAACACATTTTATCCTATCTAGATTAGACCACCTGGCTGTGATATTAAAAGTGGGGTTCCCACCATGTACATTGAAACACCACTCGATTAAAAACTTTCATAAAATTTTCTGCCATGAAACTAAAAATTATACTATTGATGAACAAATGTTGATTAAATACTTGTCAAAACAATATAACAGTGGGCCAAATTAAATACACCCGAGGGTCTYTGTACCAGGAACTATCATTTCCTTSGCTATACATGATTTTCTATTTGGTTATTTAGCGAAAAAAAATTTATACTTTTGAAAGAAATTCCATAATATTTCATGAATAAATCTGCTATTTGTTATACTCTTGAAAGGCTTCTTCCTTGATAGTGTCTGCACTCGAAGACTATCGTGCCATTATCAGATTAGTGAACCAATATTGCAATGTTTTCGTTTTTCAGTAAAGCAGAAAGCAACATCTATACAATGGCAGATGATATCACAGTAATAACACCAGACCAATTACAYGTCGATAAAGTCATGTCACTCGCATCTTGTCCATCAGCTGGAGCTATTTCCTTGTTTGTTGGTAAGTAATAAGTGTTTTWTAATAACTTTATAAGACTTAATGATAAAACATGTATGTTTTACTTTAATTGATAATCAAATTCATTATCATGTTTTTGTTCCAGGAACTACAAGGGACAATTTTGAAGGTGAGATTATATCACTAGAAYGAAACCAATATCATGTCAACAACAWCGTAATCTGTCAATGGCTGAATGTTATTATTTGGAAGTGTCTTTGTTATATTGTATGCCTTTGCAAAGATTATACTTGGAATTATGTTCAATTATATATATAATTGGGGCTTTTGGTTTCAGGAAAAACCGTTGTTCGTCTTGAATATGAGGCATATATACCAATGGCAAGCTCAGAAATGAGAAAAATATGTAAGCAAATACGTGAAAAATGGGATGTCCATAAAACCGTGATTTATCATCGAATTGGGTGAGTTTTTCTATTCTCTGCTCTAAAAATTTAGCTGATTTAGATGAAGGGTTGCCCRCAATATARATATGAGAAACGGCACAGTTGCGCACTTTTCAATATCAATAGCTTTCAAATAGCTTCCCATCTTTCAACCAATCAKAATCGYTTTAAGAAAAATCATGTCACAAGTTCGTCCAATCGGCATTGTAATAAAATTTAACGGACACCTCAGTGGTTTCCTTTAATCCCTTTAATCCCTGTAAGTGACAHGCTAAACGTACGCTAAATTGGCAATTAAAGTACTTGAAGAATCGCTAGAACGTTAATAAGTGCCTGAATTGAACACTTAARTTTTTACTCCTCAAAGAGTCGCCCTTTTAGATATGTATTTCAAAAGATAAACCGATTAGTGGAACTGAATTTATACAAGAAATGGCAATTGAACATTTTAGGAAAGTTTTATTTATGCAATCTCATTTTTATCGTACTTTTGTTTCAATTGGAGGGGAAATTGTCGCGCGCGTGTCGCAAGGAAAATTGAAGAAAATTGAAAGAAAGAAGCAAGAATCTATTGCTCAGTTTTTATTCCAAGATTTTCTTTAACGTGAATCTGTTAAATAAAGATAAAACGAGAAAGCTGGTCAAACGTTTTGGTATTTTCTATTGATGACAATCCTTTCAATAAGATGTTGTTGTTTTTTCAGTGTTGTTCCTATCGGCGAAGCAAGTGTCATAATYGCAATATCATCATCACATAGAAAAGATTCCCTCGAAGCAGTGCAATACTGTATCGATACGTTGAAAGCCACTGTTCCAATATGGAAAAAGGTAACTACCCTAAASTATTTCTTTCTCATGCTTTCTATTACCACTAAATACCGCTTTCTGTTAGGACACATGAATGTATTTCATAAAATGACGTTATCTTTCAACTTTCCACTTTCTTGTGCGTGCCCGCCAGTAAGGACGTACTATCTCCAGAAACTCTAGTAAATAAAAAACCGGTGCTATTTGCAGAACGTTTTTGTTATTTTCAGGAGGTTTATGAAGAAGGCGAAGCAAAGTGGAAGGAAAACAAGGAATGTAGCTGGAGAGAAGTGAAGAGTTCCACAGTGTGAYATTWTTCGTCTTGGACCGATGAAACGACTTGTAAATATTAAAGTTAATAAAGCTGCCCATTTGTTTCGTATACATTTGTTTCAACAGTGTTTGAATTAAAGAAATGATCAACTTCTAAACTTTGTTTTTAATTTCTTGTGTGATGTAAGACCATTATGGGATSSCCATGCCACAAATTAGTAGGCCACGACAAGTGCAATACGTAGTTCTATCGAGAGCGTCTTTGCGGACATAAAGAACACTAAGTCTTTCTTCGACTAATGTAAAACCACCGCCGACATTTTCTAATTATCTTTTCAAAGACCAAGCGCACCCGCCATAACGGCACAGAAAACACTCCTTTCGGAAACCTCTTTCAGTTTGCAAACCAATAAAGGAACCAARTGTCGTTGGTCGGCAAACAAACGCAGGCATTTCATATCTTTTCAAAGATAGCGTAATGAATCTTTCACAAACTTACAGCTGTTGTAGTAGACGTCTATGAGTAGTGAGTTATATATTGTGTCAAGATAAAGATAGTATCGTCAACTTGTAGTTCACTTTGCTGCAGCCTGCAATAACAATAAATAAAACGAGAAAAAATGAAGCCGCTTTCAAGTACTATCAAAATGCCACGATGTAATAAGACATTAAACGTCGTCCTAATGGGGACTTAAAGGGAAACTTATAAAATACTATACGTACTTGTTCAGAGTAATTTTGAGTTTCTTCAGCTGTTCTCTGTCTGCTTCAGTGACAAGCTCTTCTAGGTCTTTGGCAGCTTCCTCAGCCGCTTCTTCGCCATGTTGAGCTTTCAGCGCCATTACGGTTGCCTCCATCCTTTCTTGTTTCTCGAGAACGCGACTGTAAGAACGAAAAACCACTCTTTTAAAATCTACAAGTCTTAAGATGAGTCATAGTCACGCAAAACTGAGTTCTTCCCTTTCATAAACATGTAGCCACACTATGTTTTTTTACTAGAAATGACTTGTCAGTTCATTCATTCATTTATTTATTCATCCCACAATCCAACCATTCATTCTCTCTTTCACTTTCTTCAATTTATCCAGAATAGTCTAATAGTCCCTAAGCCCAATGGCAGTGTGTAAAATTTCGCTGTTTCCACGACAACCAAGTAGAATTACCTATGGTCCTGGATCTCGCTCAATCTTCGACTCATTAAATTCCCAATAGTCTACACAAAAGATAAAAAARTCAGTTATAGTGCAAGGTCCAAAAACAGTGCGGTGAGGATCTAGTCTTTGTCAGTCATAGCGGACCGTCCGTAATAGCGGAGTGTCCGTAATAGCGAGGGCCGAGAACTGACCATTCAGTTTTAATGGTGTCAAATATAAAATATACAATGTAATTTACAGACCTGATAACACCGTTCTAACAACGTCCTGCTCAATCGCTTTAGGTTCACGGAAAACAGATAGATAGTTCGTGAAGGAGCATAGTCTGAGCTCTTAGCAACCTCCTAAAGACATCAAAMATTTGTCATTTTTATCAATCTGTAGCCAGGCTTCCTGCCTTAAAGGATGATTATCTACGCCTCACCTGCATTGAAATAACA